GCTGATCCTTTTTTTGCTGCTGCATCTACACATTTTGCTGATCCATGTTATTGTTCTCATACTATTAACATTCATGACCATAAACGTACAGTATATATGCCTCTTATAATATCAAATATTCCCCATCACCAGTCAAGTCATATTATCACTAAATTGAATCAAATCTACCATCTCTAAATCAAAGCGACGATTCATACCAACAAACCCACCAAAAGACCTTCAATCACACAAAACCCGTTTTAAACAGGCACATCACAGCCCTTAATCAGCGCTTCCTGTCGTTTGGTCATTCTGATGGGTCTCATGCTCCAGGTGCTCCTCCTAGCCTACTACACCAGCGACCTCGTCTCGAGTCTGACTGCTGGCCCTTCACCACCCAAGCTCTCAACCCTTTACGATGTCTACAAGAACCCTTCGCTAAAACTGGGCTTCGAGAAGGGAGCTGCACCGCATCTCTACTTTAGCGTGAGTTGGCTGACCCGTAGGTAAAGAGGTTCGTTAGATTATTGTTGGTGGGAATGATTTTAGCTGAAAAAAAAGGTTTAGGGTGGATTTAGGGTTTTAAATAGCTTAAGGAGAACATAATGGTGAGCGTTGGAATTTATTTATGTTCAGCATTATGTCCTGTGGTCAGCACTGTAGCAGTTACATGTCTCGAATTAATACCTTTTTTTCTATTTTTTTTATCAATGTCTCAGCTTGTAATTATGTTCAGTAGACCATATAATCATATATAATCTTAGATCATTTAATATTTGTACAATAGAATCAGTGACAGAAGAAAATACATATAAGATCTACATATTACAGGAATAATTTCAATTGTATAATTTTTCCTCATTATGAAAAAAAACATCTCATACAAAACTTCTAAAAAAAATCCCGAACATGAAATTTAAAAAATACCACAATGAAAAGACACGAATGAACATGAAAAACATCCCCAAAAACGAATATAAAAAAATACCCACAAAAAAAAAAAAAACAAACGAATACAAACAAAAAAACAATCATCCCCAATAAAAAAAAAAAAAATTCCATCCCCTTTCTCCATGAAGGAATCCAACGACAACATCGTCAAAAAGCTCTGGCAGAGAATCCAGGACAACAACTACGAGACCCTCATGAACAGCCTGGACGAAGGGATGCAGCGAGTCCTGAGGGAACCTTACCTCCACATGGGCTGGGGGATTCCTATGCGCTACGGCTACGGACACGACTGCCGCCTGTTCATGTTGCCCACGTCCTACTTCCACGTCCAGGCCTCCTTCATGATGAAGAAGGATTCGCCGCTCGTGCCCGTGTTGAATAAAGTGTGAGTCGCGTTCTGTGTGGAATGCGATGTAGGCCTTTGCACGGGAGGATAGAAAACGGAGATTTTTTTTCCCTTTTTTTCTGTTTTTTCACTTTCTTTTTCACTCACGGTGAAGAGGGAAGATAGAAAACGGAGATTTTTTTTTTTTTTTTTTTTTTTCTTTTTCACTCACGTGAAGAGGGAGGATAGAAAACGGAGATTTTTTTTTTTTTTTCTGTTTTTTTTCACTCACGGTGAAGAGGGAGGATAGAAAACGGAGATTTTTTTTTTTTTTTCCACTTTCTTTTTCACTTGAAGAGGGAGATAGAAAACGGAGATTTTTTTCTTTTTTCTTTTTTCACTTTCTTTTTCACTCACGGTGAAGAGGGAGGATAGAAAACGGAGATTTTTTTTCCTTTTTTCTCATTTTTTTTTCACTTTCTTTTTCACTCACGGTGAAGAGGGAGGATAGAAAACGGAGATTTTTTTCCACTTTTTTCTGTTTTTTCACTTTCTTTTCACTCACGGTGAAGAGGAAGATAGAAAACGGAGATTTTTTTTTTTTTTCTTTTTCTTTTTTTTCACTCGGTGAAGAGGGAGGATAGGAAACGGATATTTTTCCACTTTTTTTCTTTCTCTTTCACTTACAGGGAAGAGAGAGGATAGAAAACGGAGATTTTTTTCCACTTTTTTTTTTCTTTTTTTCACTCAACGTTGAAGAGGGAGGATAGAAAACGGAGATTTTTTTCCACTTTTTTTTTTTCACTCAGTGAAGAGGGAGGATATTTTTTCGGTGAAGAGAATGTAGATATCTGCTCCTAAGACGAAGAAAATGTAGGTGTTTGTACTCGCAATGTATAAAATGTCTTTCTTCACCTTTCTGCACTCTTGGTGTAAAAAATGTACCTTTTTCTAGTTGTAGAAACCGTAGCTTCCTGCATCTGTGGTATAAAAATTATAGCTTTCTGTGACTGAGATACAAAATAAAATATATGGCTGTTTGCACGTACCCTATAGCAAACAAAGCTTTCTGCACACGCGATATAGAAAATGTAACTTTCTTTAATTATGGTGTAGAAAGTATATCTTCTTGTCCCCACGGTAAAAATGTAGTTTTCTGTGTCTGAGTGAAAGAAAATGGAGCTGTTTGAACCCACGCTAAAGAAAACTCGGATTTCTGCACCCGCTGTATAGAAAATGTAACTCTAAAATGATTATGATGTGACAGCAACAGTAACAACAACGATGAGGATAATAATGATAGTGATGATAATTATAGTAATTATAATAAATGGTATATATCTTAGTCTTTAGCCATTGTGAAGCTTATCACCATATTCCCCCCCAGTTTCTCTGAATTAACCGGATTGAATTCTTATTCTCCTCATTCCTCTGTCCCACTCCTCATTCTTTTTCTCCACTTCCCCTCTGCTCCTCTATTCCTTCTCATCCTCTCTTCCCCTCCTTCCTTTCTCCTCCTCTTCCACTACCTGCTCCCCTCCTCCTCCTCCCTCTTCTCTTCTTTTTCCTTCCTCCTCCTCCCTCCATTCTTTCCCTCTTTTACCCCCTCTTTCCCCTCTTCTCCCTCTCTTCCCTTCTCTTCCATCCCTCTTCCTACCCCTTTTTCACCCCTCCTCCTCCTCTCCCTCCTTCTCCTCCTCCCTCCTCTCCTTCCTCCCTCTCTCCCTCTTCCTTCCTCCTCCTCTCCCTCTCCTCTTCTTCCTTCCCTCCTCTCCTCCCTCCTTCCTTCCTCCCTCCTCCCTCTCCCTCCCCGCAGAGTGATGGACATCATGTCGACCGGCCTCCTCCGAAAGTGGTGGCGCGACTGGAGCACCGAAGCCAAAAACTGCGACTTATTACAGGATGAAGGCGGTGTTCGGACCCTTCTTCATGTTGGCTGTGGCTTTGGCTTCGTCGGTACTGGTGTTCGTCGGCGAGGTCTTGAGGAGTAGGGGGCAGGGGGGAGGAAAGGGGGTGATGTTTGGAAGGTTTTAGGGTCGAGTAGATTAACTAAGATTCTTATTGTTTTGATTACTATTATTCTATTCCCATTACATTGGATTTACATTATTTGATTTCTTGATACACGGCGTTCAATAAAATCCTGTATTGGCACATCACTCCTTTGACAGATCTTTAATGACTGTGTACTCTGTTTAACCGTAATGGACTTACTTACAGAAATGTTTTCGCAAAGTACAGATCAAGTTAAGAAATTCACGGAAAATCTAACTCAGCGCCAACTTACACAATCTAATACAAAATCGTATATCTTTTTCAGCCTAGTTATATAAGCAAATAACACACAATACACATACACCATATAGCATAGAAGGATAGTCAAACCCGTTTTTTTAGTGATAGATAGTGATGATTATTTACACTTTGAGGCATCAGTGTTACATTACAAGAACATTCAGCAGCACTTGATTCACACTGGGAAGACATACGTATTGTTATTGTGTTATTTTCTTATCATTACTGATGTGCACTTTATTGCAATGCTGTACTACTGCAATTGTTCTACTTGAGGTTATGTAGATTGTAATTATAATTACGGACCACTAATAAATCTATTACTGTATGGTTACACATGGACATTAATTATAATAATAATATAGACTAAGTTGTTTTATGCTACATTTAGTTAGTAAGGTAACCGCGTGTGCAGGAAACAGCGTAGTAATAACATACCTTTTTTTTTTACCAAATCACTAATATTATTAATTTTTTCGATATAAATTATTGGTGATGCATTTTCTCCTTATGATGTCGGGCAGCAAACATGGATATTTCCATCTCTGTTAAATAAAAAATACATATATGAATTAATCATGCAGTAAAAATATATTTTATGAATTACTGATAATTATCAAAAAGATAACATTAACATAATTGAGAAAGATTAATGGCTTAGTGTATTATGGTCATCAAGATAACTGAGTGGTTAGAAAAAGGGAGAGAGTGAGGAAAAAAGGGGGTAAAGGGAGAGAGGAAGGGAGAGGGAGAATGAAAGAGAAAGAGACATACATACATACAAACAGAGCCAGATACACAAAACCGAACCAGAGACTGACAGACGGCCAAAAAAGACACACAGACACACAGAACACCCGAACCCCCCAACTCAGGAACTTCTCCAATCACCTGGTGTCACACCGGTGGTCGACGAGGAACTTGGTGGTCCTGCCCACATCTCCGGCGGCGTTGGTCACGAGGAACACCTGCTCGAGCCTCACGCACTCGCCCACCAACACGCAGGTGCCGAGGCGAGTCCCTGGCGTGTTGCACGGATTACCTGTTGGTGAGATAGAAACGTAGAAACGTGTTTTCTATTGATATTTGTACATGTTTACACGGACGGATTACCTGTTGGTGAGATAGAAACGTAGAAACGTGTTTTCTATTAACATTTGTACATGTTTACACGTAGATAAGATGGTACACATACACTCGCCTCCACATATATATGTATATAAGTGCCCAGACAAGGATATATACGTGCACACCCCACCATACGTATGTATACGCGCACAAACAAGGTAATACACATACACTCACACATTTATGTACGTATGTGTGCGGGTACGTAGTAAACTGATTATTTTATATAAGTGGTTCTTAACCCGGGGGGGGGGGGAGCGTCAGTAATTTCCTAGGAAAAGAAAGGAATTATATTTCTTCTCTTTAGATCGAATAATGAGAA